ATTGATTATTTTATTATGAAAATCCTCCTCCTCTGCTGAGGTTACTCTTCAGTGAGTGACAAAATGAGACACAAAATCTTTATGGTTTTTGTCTGTTCAGAGAGGTCTATCCACATACGTCCTCCCTAAATTTTCTTGTCACAGCTTTTCTAATCATGTCCCTTCCAAGTCCCTGACCATCCAACCAAACCATTGACCACAACCCATGAATCAATATAAAATTTCACGTGTGGCCATTTTTACTTCAAGGCAAAGTGAGTAATTGGGTGTGCTGGATGAAGTTCTATCCTAGAAAGATTTCTTTTCACTGCTGCCCTTCAGGGACCTTGCAGAAAGCTATGGATCTCTGCTCTTGAGTCCTGCCTATGAATTGTGAAGAGCATCCGTAAACCAGGCCCAAGTCTTTTATTCCTCTGCCAACTGATTATTGGGAATTCCCCATGAGTACATAGGAATAAGCAAGGAGAAGGCAATGTAGCAGAAGTGGGAACTATGGGCATTTGGGTCACTTATTCATGTAACTTATTTGTGCCTTCAAGGCCTGCTCAGGCCTGATAATGTATATACCATTTCCATTTGATGATGGAATTCTGCTGCACATGCCCAACTTTATGACTTGGTGAGTCAGATAACACCCAGTTCATCATAGGCACCTTGGGCCACATGAGGTCTCTACTAAGGCCAACTAGCAGGTCAAGAGTTGCATCTTAAAAAGAGAGCAGTTATCCAAGAGGATGGTAAGGCTTTGGTAAAAAATACTAAAGGCTTGCACTGCAGTTTACACATATGACCTGCCAAAGGCTCCAAACACCATCCCTATCTGTCACTGAACTTGCAAGTACCACTGGACCTTCTGAATCATATGGCCTAAGTGGCAGGACAGCTTGTACAGGGGTGCGGGTGGCTCAGTTGGTTAAGCATCTGCCTTCAGCTCAGGTCATGATCTCAGGGTCCTGGGATCAAGCCCCACATCGGGCTCCCTGCTCAGTGGGGAGCCTGCTTCCCCTCTCCTTCTGCCTGACACTCCCCCTGTTTGTACTTTCTCTCTCTCTCTCTCTGTCAAATAAATAAATAAAAAATCTTAAAAAAAAAAAAAAAAAGAACAGCTTGTATAGAAGCCTAGACCTTATTCAGAATCTTTTTTTGTTCTGGGCACCTCTCAACACTAGCCCTTATCTTGGACTTCCAGCCTCCAGAACTATGAAAAATAAATTTCTGTTGTTTAAGCTATTAAGTCTATGGTATTTTGTTATGGCAGCCTGGACTAACAAAGACAAGTTTTGGTACCAGGCGTTAGGTGCTGCAGTAACAAATACCTGAAAATGTGGAAATGACTTTGGAATTAGGTAATGGGGAGAAAGTGACAAAGTTTTGAGGTACATACTAGAAATATGGATGTTACAGGCAATTCTGGTGAGGTCTTAGAAATGAGGAATGGGTTTTTGGAAACTGGAGGTAAGATGATTTTTTGCCATAAGGTGGAAAAGAACTTGGCTGAACTGTGTTCCAGTATTTTGTGGAAGATAGAACTTGAGAGTGATGGAGTTGGATATTTAGCTGAGGAGATTTCTAAGCAAAATTTTGAAGGAGTGGCTTGATTCTTTCTGTTTACAGTAAAATGCAAAAGAAAGAGATGGGTTACTTTCTCTTTCTCCATGTAAGGACATGGTGGGAAGGTAGCCATCTGCAAGCCAGGAAGAGAAACCTCACCTAAACCTGACCATAATTGCATCCTGAGCTTGGACTTCCAGAAAATAAACTTCTGTTGTTTAAGTGATCCAGTTGATGGTATTTTATTATGGCAGCACAAGCATACTGATACAATGACCAATTGAGATTTATCCTAAGAATGCAAGATTGGTTTAATATCCAAAAATCAACTAATGTAATACATCATATAATAGAATAAAGGACAAAAACCACATGATCATCTCAATAGATGAGAAAAAAAACTTGTCAAAATTCAACACCCTTATGATAAAAAAATTCAACAACTAATAATAGAAAAGAACATCCTCAACTTGATAACATCTATGAAGAACCCACATATAACTTTATACTTGATGGTGAAAGATTGTGTATTTTTCCAAGGGAAGGATGTCCAATCTCACCCCTTGTATTCAACATTGTACTGAAGGTTCTAGACAGGGCATTTAGGCAAGAAAATGATATAAAAGCTATCCTGATTAGGAAAACAGTAAAACTATTTCTTTTTGTAGATAACATGATCATGTATATAGGAAGTTTTAAAAATTCACTAATTAATTAATTAATTAATTTAGAAAGGTTGTAGGATACAAGATCAATATTCAAAAATTGATTGTATGTCTATGTAGTAGCAATGAATATACTGAAGATATAAGTAAGGAAATAGCTGCATTTGCAGTCAATGAAAAAGATAAAATACTTAGGGATAAACTTAACAAAAGAAGCACAAAACTTATAATTTGAAAACTATAAAATATCATTGAAAGAAATTTTAAAAGACCTATGTAAATGGAAAGACATTCCATGTTCATGGATTGGAAGACACAATATTGTTAAGATGTCAGTGCTCTCCAAATTGATCTACAGATTCAACACAATCTCTGTCAAAATTCTCTATCAAAACTCTATCAAAATGCCTTATTTAAAGAAACTGACAAATATCTGATACTACAATTAATATGAAAATGCAAGGGACTCAGAATAGCCAAAACAACCTTGAAAAAGAAAAACAAAGTTGAAGGATTCACACTTTCTCATTTTAAATCTATTACAAAGCTACAGTAATCAAGACAGTGTGTTTCTAGTATAAAGATAGATATATAGGTCAATGTAATAGAATTGAGACTCCAGAAATAAGCCCAAACATTTATGGTCAATTGATCTTCAACAAGGGTGCCAAGACCATTCAGTGGGAGAAGAATAGTCTTTTCTACAGGTGTTGCTGGACAATTGGATACCCACATGCAAAAGAATGAAACTGGATCTCTACCTCATACCATATACAATAATTAATTCAAAATAAATCAAATACCTAAATGTAAGTGCTAAAATTCTTAAAGAAAACATAGGTGTAAATCTTCATGACCTTGGATTTGGCAGTGGTTTTTTTTTTTTATGTTATGTTAATCACTATACATTACATCATTAGTTTTTGATTTACTGTTCCATGATTCATTGTTTGCGTATAACACACAGTGCTCCATGCAGAACGTGCCCTCTTTAATACCCATCACCAGACTAACCCATCATCCCACCCCCCTCCCCTCTAGAACCCTCAGTTCATTTTTCAGAGTCCATCATCTCTCATGGTTCGTCTCCCCCTCCAATTTCCCCCCTTGGCAGTGGTTCCTTAAATATAACATCAAAAGCACAAGCAACCAAACTGAGAATAGATAAATTGAACATCATCAAAACTAACAAGTTTTATGCTTCAAAGAATGCAACCAATAAAGTGTAAAGACAGACCATAGAGATGGAGAAAATATTTGTAAATCATATATCTGACAAGTGTTTATTATTCAGAATATATAAAGAACTCTTGAAATTCAGTAACTAAAAATAAATAACCCAATTTAAAATTGGGCAAAGTATTTGGATAAATCTTTCCCCCCCAAAAATACAAATGCCTAAAAAGATACAAATGCCAAATAAGCACATAAAGTAATACTCAACATCATTTGTCATTAGGGAAATGCTATTCAAAACCACAATGTGATACCACTTCACACTCAGTAGAGTAGCTATAACCAAAGAAATGAAAAATAATAAGTGTTGGGAAGATGTGGAGAAATTAGAATCCTCACATATTGCTGCTGAAAATTAAAATTGTGTGGCTATTTAGGTAAAAATTTTGTCATTTCTTCAAAAAGTTAAATCATAGAGTTACCATAGGATCCAACAATTCCACTCTTAGCTATATCCCCAAGAAAACTGAAAACATATATTCACATGAAAACTTGTACACCAATGTTCATAACATTATTCATAATAGCCAAAAAGTGGAAACAACTCAAGTGTCCAACAACTGATGAATGTATAAACAAAATGTGGTAATTGCATACTATGGAATATTATTTAGCATTAAAAAGGAATGAATTACTGATACATATTACAATATAGGTGAACCTTGAAAACATGCTAAGTGAAAGAAGCTGCAAAATGCCACATATTATGTGATCTATTTATATAAAGCCCCAGGATAGTCATAGCCATAGTAACAAATTTGATTAATGGTTGCCAGGGACTGAGGGAGTGACTGCTAATGGGTGTGAGGTTTTTTTGTGGGCTGATGAAAATGTTGTGGAAATACATAATGGTTGTTGCTGCATAACTTTTAAAACCTGCTTAATTGCACACTTCTAAAGGGTACATTTTATGGTATGTGCATTATATCTATTTTTTAAAAATACAGTAATCTCTATATTGGTAAAAGTATATAATGACACTTAATAAGCACGTCCTAGAAAACACAAGTGGAAGCTGGCCTCATGATGCTCTTTCTTGGTGCTTTTATTATTAATCAATCAGGTTAAGCTGCTCTTGGTGTGTTCAAGTGATCTCAGAGACAAAACCTCCACCCCAACCAAGTTATTACCCTCTCTGCACCTCATCTCTCAGAAGGGCTCTAAGGCTCACCTCTGAGCCCCTGTGCTTGGGAGTGTGGTGAACCATTTATGTATCAACTACCTTGTGCTCTGATGCTGGTGTCTTGGGAGCATGCCCACAGTGGTGACTGAAGGGAGAGGGACTATTTCTGAAGTGATGGGCTGATCTCATTAGTATGGGGCAGAATGGGGCCTCTTCAGAGCCTAGATCAGTTGACTGTTATGAAGGGAACGCAGTGAGTGTTACATTCTCTCATTTTTTCCTGTGTAAACACTGGCATTGTATCTGTCTGGCCTAAATGCTACCACTCATCTCAGCCAGACTAAACCTTCCTCCCCACACCCCCATGTGGACAACCTGGACCATGGGAAACCTCTGATACTGATGGGAATGTTTTGTATTCTCAGGTTTGGCTATGTGGAAAGAAGGATGCGAGTTACTGCAGGTTCCAGCCCACCGTGGAGATGCTCATCCTTTGTTTTGACTTCTAGGAAGAACAGCCTCTGAAATGAATAATCCCACATATCCAGGTATTTTAAGCTTCTAATAGTAGAAAAGAAAAATTCTTTAGTTTTGGGAAATCAGAGTTGGAGTAATATCCTGAATTCTTCTAAAAGGTTTTCCTTCAGGGACTAACCCACCCAAATCACAAATCAGAATCAAAGATTCAGAACACCATCAGAACTGATAGATTTTACTTCCCACTGAAGCAAATCTATTAATTTTCATTTTTCAATGTTCTCTTATCCTGTTTTGTCTCAAATAGACCTTCATCTTTTCCAGATTCTTCCTATTCAATTTTTTTTCCTTCCTTCTCATCTCTAAAAGGAGAACCAAGAAGTCTTAAATGACTTACTTGCTACTGTTGTGACCTCTGGTGTCTTCACTTTTTCAGCATTGTATTTTTGAAGAGTGAATTGGTGAAGTTAACTTTAGTCTCAATGACTAATAATACTGACCTTTCTCTTGAAGATGATGTGAGAATTAACACCTTATGAGTAATGCTTACAGGAAGAAAAAATTAAGTTACCTAGGTATTAAATGATCATTTAGGTAATATATAATTACTCAAAATGCCCTCATTTGTATTGAACTATATATCTAGATGTCATTATGCTGTCTCGGAAAGAACACTTCATCATGAACCTAATGCTTATTTATAAGGCAGAGCTTTGCAGAATATCTATCTTGGCTCAACCAAGACTCCACAGGTCATTCTTATAGTAAGTAAGTAAACAACTGAGTCAGAAATAATTGGCCATGAAGGATATGTTTTCTAATTCAAACTACTTAAAATGTATAAACTATGATTCACATGCCTTTAGGAATGCTTTCAATAAAAGGTATACTCCACCCATTTATTTTTACTTTGAAAAGTGGATCATTGACCTCTCTTTCCTTTGGTCAAGATGCATGAGATCCAGGAGAGATGAAATCTGGTTTGTACAATCAGCATACAGGCATACATCATTTTATTATGCTTTGCTTTAGTGTACTTCACAGATACTGTGGTTTTTTACAAATTGAAGGTTTGTGGCAAAGCTATTGGTGCCATCGAGCAAGTCTATTGGTGCCATTTTTCCAACAGTGTTTACTAACTTTGTGTCTCTGTGTCACATTCTGGTAATTCTCACAATATTTCAAACTTTTTCATTTGTATTAAATTTGTTATGGTGATCTGGGGTCAGTGATTTTTGATGTCACTATTATAATTGTTTGTAGGAGCCACAAGTTATGGCCATATAAGATGGCAAACATAAATGTGTGTGTTCTGACTGCCCCACCCACTGGCCATCCCCCCATTTCTCTCACTCCCTATTCCGTGAGACACAACAATATTGAAATTAGACCAATTAATTACCCTACAATGGCCTCTAAGTGATCAAAAGAAAGTCACTTAAAATCAAAAGCTAGAAATGATTAAGCTTAGTGAAAAAGGCATATTGAAAACTGAGGTAGGCCAAAATTTTCTAGGCCTCTTGTGCCAAACATTTAGCCAAATTAGGAATGCAAAGGGAAAGTCCCTGAAGGAAATTAAAAATGCTACTCCAGTTAACACACAAATAAGTAAAACGGCCTTATTGCTGATATGGAGAAAGTTTTAGTGATCTGGATAGAAGATCAAACCAGCCACAACATTCCCTTATGCCAAAGCCTAATCCAGAGCAGAGTCCTAACTCTCTTCAATTCTATGAAGGCTGAGAGAGATGAGGAAGCTGCAGAAGAAAAGTTTGAAGCTAGCAGAGGTTGGTTCATGAGGTTTAGGGAAAGAAGCCATCTCCATAACATAAAAGTGCAAGGTTAAGCAGCAGGTACTGATGTAGAAGCTGCAGCAAGTTAGCCAGAAGATCTAGCTAAGATAATTTATGAAGGTGGTTATGCTAAACAACAGATTTTCAATGTAGATGAAACAGCCTTATATTGGAATAAGATACCATCTAGGACTTTTATAACTAGAGAGGAGAAGTCAATGCCTAGTCCAAAGCTTCGAAGGACAGGCTGGCTCTCCTATTAGGGACTAATGCAGCTGGTGAATTTCAGTTGAAGCTAATGCTCACTTACCATTCTAAAATTCCTAGACGCCTTAAGAATTATGCTAAGTTTATACTACCCATGCTTCAGAAATGGAACAACAAAGCTTAGGTGACATTGCAGCTGTTTACATCATGGTTTATGGAATATTTTAAGGCCCCTATTGAGACCTACTGCTCAGAAAAAAAAAAAAAGATTCCTTTCAAAATATTACCATTCATTGACAATATACCTAGTCACCTAAGAGTTCTGATAGAGCTATATAGCAGGGTTAATGTTTTCATGCCTACAAACACAGCATCCATTCTGCAGCCCATGGATCAAGTAATTTTGTCTTTCAGGTCTTATTATTTAAGAAATACATTTTGTAAGGCTATTACTACCATAGAGAGTGATTCCTCTGATGGATCTGGGCAAAGTAAATTGAAACACCTTCTAGGAACTTTTTACCATTCTGAATGCCATTACATTTGAGATTCATGGGAAGAGGTCAGAATATCAACATTAACAGAGTATGGAAGAAGCTGATTCCAACCCTCACGGATGACTTGGAGATGTCCAAGACTCCAGTGAAGGAAGTAACTTCAGATGTTGTAGAAATAGCAAGAGATCTAGAATTAGAGGTGGTGCCTGCAGATGGGACTGCATTGCTGCAATCTCATGAGAAAACTTGAGCAGATGAGGAGCTGCTTCTGATGAATGAGTAAAGAAAGTAGTTTCCTGAGGTGGAATCTACTCCTGGCGAAGATGCTGTAAAGACTATTGAAATAACAGCAAAGTACTTAGAATAGCCCATAAACTTAGTTGATAAAGCAGCCGCAGGGTTTGAGAGGTTTGACTCCAATTTTGAAAGAAGTTCCACTATGGGTTAATGCTATCAAACAACACTGCCTGCTACAGAGAAATCATTCATGAAAGGAAGAGCCAATCAATGTGGCAACTTCATTGTTGTCATATTTTTTTTTAATTGCCACAACCACCCCAACCTTCAGCAATGACCACCCTGAACAGTCAGCAGCCATCAACATCAAGTCAAGACCCTTCATCAGCAAAATGATTACAACTTGCTGAAAGCAAAGATGATGATTGGCATTTTTAGCAATAAAGTATTTTTTAATTGAGCAATATACATCTTTTAGAAATACACTATTGCACACTTAATAGACTACAGTATAATGTAAACATAACTTTTACATGTTCTAGGAAGACAAAAAATTCACTTGACTCACTGTACTGCAATATTCACTGTATTGTGGTGGTCTGGAAGTGAACCTGCAGTATCTCTTGGGTTTGCCTATATAATTTCAGCGTTTAAACCACTGTTTCCTCCTATAGTAGTTCTCTTTTCTTACCAGGCTTTACAGAGTAGTTTCTCCCTTGTCTTACAAAAAGAAAAATGGTTTTTACCTGTTGATTTGTGTTTTATGAGAATTCCCTGCTTTTCTCTGCTCATGACTAGACAATTCCCTGTGGATAATATTTGATGTGCTCTGTCATAACAAAATGTATTGATATTCCTGTACATCTCGCTTGAGTAGTTGGCTTATTAGGCAATACACTGGCATTAAAATTCTCATATATTCAGGACAGTTCTCTATACCTAATTAAAGCCCAGTGTTTTTACATTTAAAATGACAATTAAATTTACAAGAAAAGCTTTTAGTTGGCATTTGTGATTGTACCACAAATTCATCTCGCTTTCTGAACCTTTGTCTATTCCAAAGCTCCTCTATGTGAGTTCTTTAACGGTCTGGTTAACAAAGTTTCCACCCCTTTAAAAAGTTTAACATCAACTAGGGAACTATGAGTCATCATTGCTAATAAATATTAAGGCTAGAGTTGAATTATGGTTTTATCCTGGGGTCAGTTCTAAATGGAATGGTATCTACATGATGCCACAATCATCAACTGAAGAGTTTTAGGAACAATTAATCTTTTGGTTATGTTATCTGGATTTTTTTTCTTTTTAAAAAATTAAATGCTTTCATTGAGTCATACAAACTGTCTATTTCAGGCTTAAGTGAGTCTCTCATTAGTCCAATCATTGTATTAAATATTTGTAGGAGATAATTAATGATCATTTTGAGATGACAACATGATATTCTTGCTGATTCAAGAAGAGTTGCTCAATTAAACTGATATACCAGAAAAAGGTGAGAAAAATATACTGTAAAAGTTTTAAGTTTTTCAGATGTCACCAGATGAGAGTGATGAGTTCAGTAACAGCGTCCTGTCCCTCTGAGTTTCCTTTTCCAAGTTAACGTCTTTCTTCCTCTTCTAGCCGAAGCATCATCATTTTTCCATTTATTTTTTGCCTTTGAAGGTGATAGTAGGATTTCATGTATGGCTTTTGCCAACTACTTAAGCCTAAATATTTTAACTCTAAAAATTGGTATAATCATATAGAAGCAACAGTTGAGGTGACAGTGTTTATAATGTTTCTTGAGATCTGCAGATGTTGTTGTAACAATGTAATATGAGTTGTTACTGAGAGCCCCTATATTCTCTGAATCTGGTTTAAAGAGATTTCAACCTCTTTCTTATGGACCCAGAATGTTTTTAAAAATTCTCACAAGAAAACCAGCTCCTTAGTTATTTAAAAAAAAAAACTGAAAGACCAGAATGCCTGAATATTTATCCAGAAGTAGTTTAAGAAAGAGCTAGGTTTTGGGGGGATTTGTTTTGCAAGGGATTAGAAATGGAGTTCAAACTACAAATAAGAAATTTTTCAGTATTCCAGAAAAGGATCATTGGTATATTAGAGAAAGGAGTTGAGAAATGGCAGGAAATCAAGAATTATTAATGGGAAAATAAAAACAGAATGATACTATTATGTAGAGTTTATATACATGTAGAGCTTTAAAGTTTAGAAAGTATTTCTATAGGTTAATTCAGTCCATTTGTACAACATCCCCATGGGATAGGTGGGGCAAAATCTGTGTTTTATGTTTGAGAAAACTGCTATCTGGGGAGGCTAAATAATTTGCCCAAGATTTCATGGCTACCGTTTTACTGAATCAGGATTTGAACATGTCTGATTCTCGGGAGTGATTGTACTGTGCTTTAGAAAGGAAGACAGAACTTTTGCTTGCATAAGAAAGATAACATTTCTAACAGTTTGCTTTAAGATGAATTGCTGTCTTTAGACTTAACATGGATATCCCAGGTACTTGGTCAATGAGAATACATTGGTGCACACATCTGTCTACTCCAATCACCTGGTTCTTTTGTGTTCATTTTGGTCAGGTGAAGACTGAACCCCCAAGGAAGAGGGATCTGCTTTTAGAGTTTCATTGGGTTGTCCTAAGTTAACTGTGTGGTACCATTATTGTCCCTTCTTACCCAGTGCTTTCTCTTCTTGTGGAGTTAATTCTGTCCCAACAGCTCATTCTCAGTGAATGAGTAGGAAATGGGAATAGAAAGGGAATGGGTGAGCAGTGCCAGGAAGAGTGAGCAGGTGTTAGGAGGCAGTAAGCTCAGGGTTCACTTCAACTTCATGGGACGATGAAGAGCTACTTACGCCTTCCTGAAACTCAACCTCTTTAAAACGTTGAGTTTGAGGACAAAGAATTGGTGCATTGAAAATGGAGACATGGTTGTGGGAGAACTGAGGTAGACAGGTTTGGATGTTATTTGTTTACTTGTCCCTGAAATTAGCACTCACACAAACTGGATGAAGGGGTCCCTTTTGCAGAGTTACATTTACTATCTACGGCTTTCCTTTAGGTTAGTGAATTTAACAATATGAATGAAAATAGATGACAGGATTCTGAGGTTGGCAAGAGGTTTTTTACTTAGCTCAATTCATCAAAGGATGGGCTCTGGATAGGAAATGGAAGGGGTAAGAAAGTAGATCTTATCGAAAATGAGAAGCAATTTGAACAGTTATTCCAGGGGAGATACCACTTTCTAGGGCATATTAAAGTCTCCGGGATGCCATGTATAGTTTGGAAGAGAAAAAAAGTAATATACCAAATTTTTGCATATTTCAAATTATAGAATATGAAGTTTTACCAAATCTTTTTAGCTGAAGATTTTCAGAAAACCATGAGAAATCATCTGGGCCAGGGGCTTTAGTTAGAGAAGTTTCAGAAACCCAAAATAAAAAGGAACCACTAATTCCTAGAAGGAAAACAGTTTTGAAGGAAACAAGGATTATCCCAACCCCAATGCTAATGAAAACTGATAGTCCAGGTGATTTCTGTTTGACAAAGAGATTGTCACTGTTGACAGGGATGACTGGCAGGGTGGAAAAATGAAGGAAAAATAAAGCTTTGCAGAAAAACTTCAGAGGAAATTTGACACCTTCAAAACCACAGGTGTGAAGTTAAGTGAAACTGGTAAGTAAAAGTTGGTGTTGTTTTTCAGGGTCTGACACTCTACATACTTTTAGTTCAAAATTTAGGAGTCTGAACAGAGCATATGAGAGAAGTTGGAACATGGGAGGCCAGGAATTGAGGGGTTAGAGAATTGTTTTCTGCCCTGAAAGCCTCCTTAGACTTTATTCTTAAATGTGTTCTACTGTACTCACTGAGAGCTCTAGGAAGACAAGGTAGCTTCTTTTTCTACCAACCCAGCCTGTTTTAAATTCCAGGCTGCAGTGGGCTTTCTAATCCAGCTCTCAGTGGTCATTTATTGAGTGCCTGAGCTTGGTGTGTGTAGATATAAAAATGTTTTAATACACGGCCCTTGCCTTCAATGATTATAAATAATGAATGAATTCCGCCTGAAGATGGATTATTCTGAAATAGAACTAATAATAAAAACTAAAACATAAATATCAAGTAGTATAAATATTAATTTTTCTAGGAATTCAGAGATGGGAGCTACAGTAGTTGGAGAAACCTTTTTGGAAGAGATGGAAGTTGAGTTACATCCCTAAAGCTGAGTAGATTCCAGACTGGGTGAGGATGGGGTTGGAGTGAGGGCTTGTGAAGAAATGGGGTGAGAAATGGGAGGGACACTTCCCAAGGGGCAAAGAAGCTGCTGGAGCAAAGGGACAAGGGATTAAATTTAATAACCCTGAGATGTACTATCTGAGAAACCAAACAGTGACATTTGTAACAATTACTCTTGTTTGGCTCTTCAAGCTAAGCATTTGGGTTTGCTGAGAATTTGAACAGTTGATTGTTTTAAAGAGAGGGAAGACTGACCTAAAGTGAGGGGCACTGGACCTAGGGCTGAATCCTGGCCCTGCCATTCTTTAGCAACATGGTTTCCAACAAGTTTACCTCTTCATGCCTCAAGTTCTTAAATTTTAATTGGGGTTAATATTAGTATTTAATATTGGTATTTGTGAAGTTTAACAAAGAAAATATTTAATATGCTTATTATAGTACTTGGCCCAATAAATCTTACTGTATTAATTTTGTATTTGATGTAATAGAATCATAAATAATATTAACAATAATAGCAGTAATAAAATTTCAAAGCCAAGTAACATTATGAAAGTCTTAACATGTGCATGAGCACAGAGATTATCTGCAAAGAGTGGATCTTCAGAACCCACTTTTGTCTTCTGATCTCCAAGAAAGATGAAAAAAAGAAAACAATAGCTTTTTTCTTCTCTGACCCTCTCCCCAAGTCCAGTAGTCCCTGAGTGGTCATGAGGATCCCACCACATGCTTTTGCTTGGGTTCACATTGCTTTCCCTGGTGCTGAGGAGGAAGGTACTGAGCTCACTACCTGAGCCAAGATGAAGCTGAATGCTTTCCTGCATTTCCATATGCCATGGGCAGTCTCAATTACCAGTGCCTTTTATTTATACAATTCACATTAAGCTGTTTATTTCTTGCCTCTCTTTTTAGCAGGGTAAGCAAGTCAGGGCGGGCCACTTTCTAGTAGATTGTGAGAAAATAGATTTCAGCAATAGCTTGACTTGTGGGTCTGATGTGGAGAGAAGAGAGTCAAAAAGAAATATTCTTGTGGCTTTCTATATGACTGAGAGGTAGCGAGGCTGTTGTTTGCTAGAGCAGCCAATTAAGAAGAGTGACATTCTGGCCACTGAATGTTAATAGGCCGAAGTGGAAGTGCGGTGACCAAAGTTGAGTCATAACTTGAGAGGAAACTAGTCTTACCCATGTTTTTTTGTTCTTTAGTGCAGACCCTTAGTAAGCTCTTCGAAGACAGTGGCTTTCTACAGAGGAGAGCGACAGTAACCGTTGGCCACAGCAAATGGCTCTTCTCACCCTTGTGTCGGAACAAGAACCAATTATGAGAAGCCTGGGTTTGGCTCACTTTTGGTGTGGTTAGTGTTGGTGGGAAGGTTACTTACAGGTTTCTTCATTTATTAATGCATTTGGTCTCAGACAGGCCCTCAGAACCTTCGATGATTATGACTGTATTGGTCTGGCCAGCTCTGTCCAGGTTGTTAACAGTATTCAAACCACCTCTGTACTCCTGGAGAGTGTCTCACCAAGCCCCTCTCTGTCTGGCTTGAGGCTCGGTGAGGGATCCACTAGTAGCTCTTTGAATATGAAACCTGGGTGACCTTGCACCATTCTTGAAGACTGACCTAAGACTTAGAGTGTTTTGGGACTTCTCCAGGGGTTTTATTTGACAACAGGAATATAGAGGACCTCTGTTTCAATGCTAGAAACTGCCACTTTGTCCCAGGTTTATTCTTGGGGGTGACTGATAATCTGAACTCTTCAAACTTAAGGGAGAGCCCAGTGCCTATGCCGGAATAAATATGCAATTTGTACCAATTCTATTATGGAGGAAATTAGCTTTACAAGAGCTGAAATGAACAATGTCTAATACTCCTCCATCCCAAAGTAGATAAAATAGTGCTCCTCTTGTCATGTTGGCACAGGCCTGGCCTCCTTATTATTGTCACTCTTACACTCGATGATGTTATTTTTCTAATTTGCAGATATTCTCGGGTTGAAATTTGCCATGGCAACAAATCTTGCCCAGTGTTCTGTTTCAATTAGTTTACTGAATGAGCATCATTTATAACACCTGTTGCCATTTTCCTCTTAGGAACTTGGTTCAAAATCAGATTCATGTTGTAGATGAGACCTAAGTAATTCTTTTCTAGTTCCTTTGAGGAGCCCTCTGCTAGCATTCTTGCAGGCCAGAAACCAAAACCTTCCCTTCACAAAGAAGCCTTCTTCCACAGTAGAAGTGCCAATAAATACACAGGTAGATTCTAGGAATACTCGCACATCTCTCCTCTTGCCAGATAGCAAAATAATTTCTTAAGGTGAATCACTGGAAAATAATACCACTTTGTATTGCCTTCATGTTTTCTACTGCGAGAGGCTCTTACGTAAGTCAGCCCCCATGATTTGCCAGGCATGCTCTTTAAGCCAAGGGGTAGCTGATTGGTCGTTTTTGATGTGAATCAGAGCTTCGTTTCAGCAGCTGAAGTCCCTATCACCATCAAAAGCCAGATGTTGTTCTGCTTTCCTGTTAGAAGGTAACTGACAATCTCTACATACTTAAGAAGAAAAATCTATTGAGTAATGGATTGGGTTCCAACGTTCAAAAAATAAAACTTAAAAAAATAAGACAAACAAGTGGGAATTCCCGTTCTGTTATCTAACTCAACTCAAACCTGGCAGGAAGACTAATAGGGAAGCCTAGAGATTTGGAAAGGAGCACCCATGTGCCTTGCAGGTTCTGTTCCACACTCAGGAAGGATGACCAGGTATTTTAGTCAAGGGCATGAAGGGTGGGATTTTACTGCTGCCTCTGTTCATGGCAAATCATTTCCCAAGCAGGGTTTCCTTTTCTTCCTTAAGTTAAAATAGACTTAAAAGATGTCCTTCCTCACAATGGTAAACAACTCTCTGAAGTAAAAGTCATCTAGATAACCTCTATAAAAGAACTTCTCTAGTTGATTCCACTCCACTAGTACAACAAAGTTAGAAAGAAAAACCTTGACTCAAGTTTTACCAAATGTATAAATGCTCTTAGTCAAAGGAGCTCACCTGGTTGGGGAATGAGGAAATATAAATTCAAGTGTAAGATTAATCATAAGAAATCCACTTAGAAGTTTTGGTGTTTTCTTGCTCCTGGTCAGTATATCCTTTTTTTAATGTATAAAGCTACTGTCTCTCATTATTAAGCTATTGCCTCCCGGCATCAAACCCATCCTTCTAAACTTTGCTTTGGGTTGCTGGGTCTCTGTAAAACACACGTCCTTCTCTATTGCTGCTAGTTCCCTATCAGGCTCTGCCTATAGGAGAGGCTAGAGGGAGACTATAAGCCTAGAGAAGGAGAAAGTTTGTCTTCCTTCCTGCTACCTCTGAGCTCAGATTTGCTGGCTGTTTTCTTCCCCTCCAGTATCACCCAGCAGCACTCCTTTACTCAGGCCATGGCAGTTCATTCCAACAGCAGGAGTTGACACCAGTGTGCAGTTTTTCCAAAACTTGTAGAACCTGTCTCATGCCACCCCCTCAGAGACACTGTCTCCTCTCAGTTGGCAGCACCCTTAGAGGTCTGAGCCAACCCCACAGGCCCTGCTGCTGGCCTTAGATATACCAGCAGCAGCCAGCTACCACCTGCTCCTGGGAGGTCTGGATCTACCCTGCACAGGGCCCATTTTCTAGGGTCTGACGCCCAGTACCATTAGAGCAGGCTCCCTCCTCAGACGTTTGAGAGTTGGATCCATTGGGGTCCTCTCTCCAAGCTTCTGGTTTTAATAATTCTCATCTCTTCTTGTTCCCCAGCCCTACCGGTGGAACTGTACTCCATTTCCATAATAACTCAGTGTTTCCTTTGTGCATGTTCTGTAATTTAATACCTAGTAAATAATTCTTTGTGTTCTTTATATCAAATTCTCTCCATTGGTGTAATTTGTCTCCTGACAGGTCCTGGACTGATAAAATAGGAGTCCTTTCCTTTACATCCCAGCTGTCTCACTTGGACTTGGACTGAATCTTGCAAGGTGTGCCTGGAGCCAACCTGAGAATGGCGCCTTTTGGGTAGGAATATCTTATTGTTATTTATTCCCTGGGCCTAAAAGACTAGCCTTCAGTGTGAGTTCTTATCCTGGGCCCCAAAAGATGTGAGAAGTCTACTTACTAGCTGAATTAACCTTTGCATGAGATGGGATGAGGAAAGTCTTTTCCTTTTAATTGATAAGGAAGATGTACAGAGGCCCCATTTTCTCATTCTAAGTTTCTATGGAAAACTAAAATGGTCAGAAGGGTTCTTTTCACTCCAGGCATCAGATGTTATAGAAATAAGAGATTGGAAAGATTTATAGCATTAGGCAAGGGAAAAAGGTTGATGGGTTTAAGTGACATAATTGGAGTTCTCAATGTTAGAAACCCCTTTTATAAGCCGGGACACCTAAAGGCCTGGCAGGTATCCATACCCGTTGGCCATCTGCATCACTATTGACTGTGTGCATATACTGAAGGATATAATGAATCATAGACATATGATCACTGCATGGAAAAAAAATGTGTTGTGCCTAGCATACTCTTTTCCATAAAGAAAGCATTATTGGGAAATGCAAACATGTGGAAACAGGCCACAAAAATGCAGCAAATTAGTCCTTATTATCCAATCATCCATGCAGGAAAGTTTTAAAAGGTAATAAAGTCCTAGGTTCTTAAAATTGGTACTTTAGCCTCACTGTTTTTGGAGTAAAATATATAGTACCGGATAACCACTGTGCATCTACGCATTTAGTTCAGCTCTTAACTACCTTTCAATACAAGAGGCATTTCAAATCATGCTGTCACCTGTTCCCAAGTTTTGTTCTGCAGATTACCATCCCAAACTATACCTCATTAAAATGAATGAAAACAAATAGGATTATCCAAGTGAATTGTCACTAATGCTATTATAAAGTAAGAATGTTTTGGCACCATTCAATAAAGCTACAATTCTAAGCTGTAAGTATAACCCATGGAAATTCGGATGACATCTCAACTCATTAGTTCGTCTGTTCCATATTCGTGCTTGTGTTTGGAATAAATGATAATGCAGTTCTCTACGCTCGCAGCATCATAAGGATCATTGTTTTCTCTAATGAACAATGATACCATTCTAAAATTCCATCGTCCTTGTCTGTCAAGTGTTCTGTTTATTATAATTTCTGAGCACAAGGGATAATCCTGTTATTTAAATATAAGTATGCCCACACTAAAAAGTCAAACCTATACGTCTTTCAAAAGCTTTTCTCAAGTTGCTTTTTAATTTTCCAGTTTGTTGGGGGAGGCACTGTGCTAAAACCTTGGATAAACTATGTGCATATTTTCTAGAGATTTTAACCATAAACATGTGTATTAGCTCAGTATACCTCTGATGAGATCTGGCCTCATTGAGAGACAGAGACAGAGAAGGAGAGAGGTGGACTGAAAGTAGAGATCAACTCTCAGAAGCAGAGGCGATGAATTATCAGAAAAAAAGGCACAGGAATGTGTATGCCTGACTCAGGGGCACCCTGAATCCAACATAGGTGAGTTGTTACAGAATGTGAAATGATCTTTAGAATGCAGTTTAAAGGTTTGGGATGTAAGTCAACATGCTGTAACCACCGTGTGCTATGACCCCATACACCACTGCATCCCCCCACTTTCCATCTGGCCAGTCTTCAGCCAGATGCACAGGAAACTGAGAATCAAAGCGACCAATGTGGTCACATGTAAACAGCGCATCTGACACTAGGGGAGTGTTGGTTTTCTAGCACAGAACTCACCACTAGGGTGACAGAAACCCTAAAGAGTGAACAGAAAAATGATGATTTCTGAGAATTCAGAACATATGCTGAAGCCACAGTGGAGAGAAGTTTGTAGCCGGTATAGAAACTCCCATTTAGGTCCAGTCGTAGTCTGGGAAATAAAGCTCAATTTTATGAGTCTTTCTTTAAATAGTTGCTTTCTGTTAAATGACCATACGATGGTGTTTCTGCCTTCCCAGTGCTAAGAGATGTAGCATTTTCCTTCCATTGAATGTGCCTCCAATGGTTGTGTATTAAAACAGTTTCATCGTTATCCCTTGGAACACTGAGTAGGAGGAAGCCAATAATGAAATGAAGACACTCAGGTGAAAGTGGGAAAGCACAAGGTGACAAATGTTCCTTTAGCTGGCTCTTACTAGCTGTGTTATCTTAGGTAAATTACCTACCATCTTTGAGGCTTAATATTTCCATCTTAAAAATGAATATGTAATAACTATCTCATAGAGCTTCTGGGATGATTGACATGAACTAATCTTTTTAAAGCATCAAACCCAGGGCCTGGCATGTTCTAGGTGCTCAGGAAATGTTAATTCCCCACCCACCACCTTCTCTTCTTTGTTATCCTTCTAGGCATCTTACCAGCTTTGAAACATTTGGGCCTAAAAATGATAAAACGGCATAACATATGTAGAGAATTTAAACTACCTTGTTGGCCAAGCTAACCAGAAAATTTTGGTTCTCCAGTCATTTTGGGAAGGCTACAAGTGGATCAAGAGTTCATCCTCCTACCTGAGGAATGTATTCCATTTCTGCTTCTTATAGATCAGAACGCCAAACTGAAAGAACTTAAAGATGGTGGGGCATGGAGGAAAAAAAAAAAAAGAAAAAGATTGATGTGATTTTGGAACAAATAAATCCACACTCTCTGGGCCAAAATAGAATATATGGATTCCACCCAAAGTTAAGTGTGGATCCCTGGGGCACCTTTGGAAATTATAGTGCTCTCAAGGGCTTTGGAATTAATATGAAGTCCCTGGCATTATATGGCCATGGATCAGGGGGACTACCTAACCTGATTTTCCCAGGATGGTCCAGAATTATGTGTGTTCTCTCAGCATAATTATTGATAGCGCCCCTTTTGTTCTTCACAATGTCACAACTTGAATGATATTTGTTTTCATTGCCAACTTAGAAGATTCTAAGTCTCCAAGTATAAGTCACTAATCAGAAGAATTTATATTGGCTCCCAATACACCGCTACTGTTATTGGTGCTCTTAATATTGCTTCTAATAAACACACATTTTCAGGAAGCTCATCCTTGCATAACACCTGAGTATACAGTAAAGAATTATTGAGGACAGCTATATTAATGAATAGTTTTAGATTTTTGATAATCCACTTCACTTGGGGCCATAACTCACATACCTGACTCATTTATTTTCTCTATTATTCTCAAACTATGTATTTTTTCATATACTTCTGAACTCTTCATTCGATTTTGTCCCTGAACACTTACATGTATCTTATTACCATAGCTTCGTAATGTCTTGATACCCGATAGGATATGTTTTCCTCTCACCCAATTTAATTCTTAGTTATTAAAAATTGCTTGACCACACTTGTAAATTTATATATAATCCATTCTTTACTGAAATGTCAAGTGACAGACTCTTATTTACACTTTGCAAAGTAGGAATATCAAAGCCCTATAAAATTTCCTCTACCAGTCTAACCTGTTCCATTTTAGGATCTCAGGTTTAACTGTACACCTGGATTTAATTTTTCATATGTTTATACATGTTATGGATGGGTGGTGAGATGTGCTTGTCTTTGGTGACAAGTGTTATGAAATAAAATTTCCTCCTAATTCATAGCAGACTATTAACACAATGGTACAATCAAGACATTCATGGAAACTTAATGACAAAAACATTCCAAGAACTGCAGAAGGGCACTTCCCTCATCTTTTCATCCCACACCCATTAAAATAAAAACTCCTTTTGGCACATGCTAGGGAGAATCAAGGTAGAATGATTAGTTGGATTGTACCAAGCTATGAAGGGCCTTTACCCCTTTAAATTAGCACAAGCTAAGCTATTAAATACATATGAAAATTAATGGCATTTACAGCCATTATTGTGGCCATGATGTTTATACAAAATCCTTCACATTAATAGGAAAGAGAGTATTTATGTTAAACAAGTCCATAGTGGTTATTTTCCAACATCTTTGAAATGATTCACAAATTGGGAGAACTTTAAAATTGCTGAAGTATCAGGGATAAGCCAACAATGGGACTGTTGGGCTGCTCAGTTGTGCCCAAATCAGATTTTCTCCTTATCCCCTAGGAGTTTTCATACCAAGCTTCCCAAGTTGAATTTGTTGAGTATGATGGAACCCTTTAAGAACAGACCTACCCTATCTGTGGATTTCCCTATGAAATCTACAGATCTCAATATAAGTAAGTAGACTTGGATGGACTACAGATGTGGTCTAAGAGTCTGCAGATGCAGGTTGAATGTGTATATGATGTTAATCAAAACACATATGTAAATATGCCCTTCCTTTACCACCATGGGTACACTGTGGGCTAAGACATAGGTTTCTGCAGCACAGAGACAGGTGTTCCTATTTGGGTTATTCACTTAAAATACAATATACTCATTATCCAACTTCGACTGCTCCGGATCTCCATTTTTCCACCAAAACACGAATCTTACCACTGTACTCACTGACCATGAACTTCACTCTCTTACAAAGAAATCCTGAAAATGGAGTGAGCTAAGTACATTCTCCTATAGTCCTTGACCTCATCTCTGGAAGGGAGAATAAGATACTGTTATGGCAGCCTAGAGGCTCTACCTAGCAAGTCAAATACACAAAGCCCTTATTTTTATATCATTTCCCTCCACCATATTCCCATGTATTTTTAATCTTGAAAGCTCTTCAGAGTAAGCTTACACACACAATGACCCTCTGTGGCTTCTCCTCCAATATCTTCTTTGCTAATTGATGGCTGGAAGCCCCATGCTGGCTTTCATGATCTCCCTTTTTCTATGTCCTATCTGTGGTACACATTTAAAAATTCAACCCCAAAATATTGACCACTTAGTATGTGCCTGTCTCTGCTCTCCATGTTAAGGATGCATCATTGAACAACACCATAATCTTTGTCATTGTGGAGCTAAACTTCTAGTTGCTTCCCGAGGATCTTTGCCTTTCAACAGGCAACATGTTGGGCAAGGCTGAGCTCCAAGTTAGGGTTGTCCCAACAGAGGCAAGTTTGAATC